GCAGGACAAATCCAAACCAGCCAGTTACCACTACATCTACTCTTGATCAGCAGTACAGTGAGGAAAGTATCAAGTGCTATCGAGCAGCACCTGCTCAGCAATAACCTGTGGAGTGACGCCCAGTTTGGGTTCCACCAGGGCCACTCAGCTCCTGATCTTATTACAGCCTTGGTTCAAACATGGACAAAAAAGCTGAATGAGGGGAGGTGATAGTGACAGCCCTTGACATGGAGGTTGCATTTGACCGAGTGTGGCATCAAGGAGCTCTAGCAAAACTGGAATCAATGGGTTAAAGGGGCAAATTCTCTGCTGGTTGGAGTCATACCTGGCAGATAGGAAAATGGCTGAGGCTGTTGAGGATCATCATCTTTGCAGGAGTCCCTCAAGGTAGTGTCCTAGGCTCGACCATCCTCAACTGCTTCATCAACGACCTTCTCTCCATCATAAGGGTCAGAAGTGGGGATGTTTGCTGAAGATTGCACAATGTTCAGCACCATTCACGACTCCTCAGATACTGAAGCAGTCCATGTTCAAATGCAACAAGATCTGGACAATATCCAGGCTGGGGCTGACAAGCAACAAGCAGCATTTGTGCGGCACAAATGCTAGGCTATGACTATCAGGGACAGACAATCTAACCACTGCCCCTTGACAGTCAATGGTGTTACCATCACTGGATCCCCCACTAACATCCTAGGCCTTACCATTGACCAGTAACTCAACTAGACGTAGCCACATAAATACTGGCTACAAGAGCCAATCAGAGGCTAGGAATACTGCAGCGAGTAACTCACTTCCCGACTCCCCAGAGCCTGTCCACCATCTACAAGGCACAAGTCAGCAGTGTGATGGAATTCTCCCCATGTGCCTGGATGGGTGCTGATCCAACAACACTCGAAGCTTTGACACCATCCAGGACAAAACAGCACACTTGACTGACAACACATCCACAAGCACCCACTCCCTCCACCACCACTGCTCAGTAGCAGCAGTGTATCCTATGTACAAGATGCGCTGCAGAAATTTGCCAAAGATCCTCAGTCAGCACGTTCCAAACCCATGACCACTTCCATCTAGAAGGATGAGGGCAGCAGATTTATGGGAACACCACCAAGTTCCCCTCCAGGGCACTCACCATTCTGACTTAGAAATATATCACCACTTCACCTTCACTGTTGTTGGGTTAATATCCTGGAATTCCCTCCCTAATGACATTGTGGATCAATCCACAGCAGCTGGACTGCAGTGATTCAAGAAGGCAGCTCACTTAACCTTCTCAAGGGCAACTAGGGACAGGCAATAAATGCTGGCCAAGCTAATGATGCCCACATCCCACAGATGAATTTTAAAAATTCTAATTCAGCTTCTGAGAGAGTCCAAGTACCACAAATGCCAATACCAATACTGAAGGCATTGTTACTACATGAAGCATGGCCTAACAAATGAGACACCGAGAATAAAAAGTAGTTCTCAAAAACTAACAAGTAGGCCCTGAAAATCAAAATGAACGGAGAAAATCTCAAGAGGAGCTCTTGAAGAAAAATTATATTGACCCCAAGTCTCACCCCCACCTTGCAAACCAACCCGCTCTGGCTTGCAGTCTGGGGTCACAGCAATTTTCGAGCACCAAAATGATTAGAAAAAGATTTGCAAAATACTGATATCCAACAACAGGTGTTTATATATAATCTTTAATATAACGAAAATGTCCCAGACCCTTTGGAGGAATGTAGATCAAACAGACAGACAATGTTAAGCGGTGAGAGATATAATGAAAACTGAATTCAGCGAAGGGCTGAACACTTACAGGAAAGTGAGGTAGTGAGACCTGACCATTAGCTTTGACACTGCGTTGCATTTCCCTCTGTTGTTGCTTCTTATGCCGATATGGAGGGATCCCATCTCTGCAAATTAAACCATGAAACAGAATGTGAGAAGAATCCAACAGGATTGAAATTAGTTTCATGTGTCACCCAACATGACAAATGCAACATCCAAGTTCTACAACTGCCGGCAAGTTGGTTTTGCAGACCAGGCTCTGGTGCGCAGGCTATGAGCCCCTCAATCTGCTGTCCAGTTACCATCAGTTCCAACGCCCACCTGCCAAGAGGACATTCAATAACTGTACCCGAGAGATTTTGTCACAATGCCACTGAGCTGGAAGACCACAACAGCACACACAAGGACAGTGTGGTTTACTGGGTTAAAAACTGGAACTGCAGATGCTGTAAATCTGGAACAAAAACAGAAGTTGCTGAAGCAGCTCAGCAGGTCTGGCAGCATCTGAGAAGAAAAAAAATAAATCAGAGTTAACGTTTCGGACCCTTCCTCAGAACTAGTTTTGTTGTTGGGAAGAGTGGCATGTGAGCATGGCTCTTGACACTGACCTTTTTTTCCAGAGAACTGAGGAAGGGTCATTGGACCCGAAACATTAACTCTTATTTTTTCTTCAGATGCTGCCGAACCTGCTGAGCTTTTCCAGCAACTTTTGTTGTGGTTCACTGGGTAATGTTCTTCTCTGAAGCGGACAGTCAGCAGTAGTCCCACTCTAGGTTACAGTACGTACTGAGGGAGTAACAATCAGTTGGAGGTACTACCTTTTGAACAAAAAGGAAAATTGGAGCCTCCATCTATCCACTCTGGGGGATGTAACAGAGCTCATGGCACTACGCTGAAGAGCAGCAAGGATGCTCTCTCCAGTATTTTGACTATTTATTCCCTTATAAGGCATCACAAAAACAGATTGTGGTCTTCAGCTTGCTGAATATACTTCCTCGCACTTCCTCATTGCAACATGTACCTTAAAAAGTATTTCATTGGATAAAAAGTGTTTTGGGTAGGATTGTGGTTTATCGTAGAGCTGAAAGAGAAGGACCATGGACTGATTTGTAAATGGGATAAAAATCTTGGAAATTGAAACACTCAGTCCAGGAACCCAAATTAAGTCTGTGGCAAGGAAGATGGGAGTAGCAAGAAACTTGGTGTCTGTTAGGACACAGGCAGCAGAGCCTTGAATTATCTCTGGTTGATGGAGGTTACAGTCTGGGAGACTAGCCAGAAGTGTGTGAAATAATTGAGCATGGAGATAACAAAGACACGGACAAGGGTCAGGGTTAGTGAAAGTGAGCTGAGGCAGAGATAGTGGTAGGTGATATTATGGAGGTGAAAATAAGCAGTCTCAGTGTTAGCAGTGGTAGGAGGCTCACCTCAGGGTCACATATGGTTCCAATGTTGTGACTAGTCTGGTTCAGCTTCAGAGTTGTCATGGATGGATTCAATTGGTGGTGATGGAATAAGACCAAAGCAATGGCTTCTGTCTTTCCAATATTTTATTAGAAAATTTAGAATTGCTCATTCAATACTTGACATCTAATAGGCAGTCAGAGTCCAAAAGAGATAGTGGTGAGATAAAGCTTGTTGCTATCAGTCCACACATGGAACTCGAGGCCATGTTTTTGGACACACCAGAGGTAACAATGCGGGTCAGCCACCATACTGCATCCTCTGTCGGACGGGAAGGGGAGATGGGAAAGGACGGAAGGATGGAAGGACGCGCGGGGGGTTGGGTGAGGATTGAACCCGAGGGTTAGCACACTTCAGGTGAGGGGAAGAGGTTGAGAAAGGAAGACCTTTGTGGTAACCTCAGGTGGTGCAGGAATTGAACCCATGCTGTTGGTGTCACTCGACATCACAAACCAGCCATCCAGCCCACTGAGCTAACTGAGTTATAAGGAGAGGTTGGATAGGCTGGGACTTCTTTCCCCTGGAGGGAGGAGCTTGAGGGGTGACCTTATAATAATGAGGGGCATAGATAGGGTGAACAGCCAAGGTCTTAGTCTTCCCCTTCCCCTTCCCCTTCCCCTCCCCCTCCCCAGGGTGGGGTGTCCAAAACTAGAGGGCATAGGTTTACGGTCACAGGGGAAGATATGAGAGACCTAAGGGGTAACTTTTTCAGGCAGAGGGTGGTGCATGTAAGTAATGAGCTACCAAATGAAATACTGAAACAAGTGGTAAAGAGGCGTACAATTACAACATGTGAAGAGACATTTGGACAGGTACATGGATAGGTAAAGGTTTAGAGGGATAAGGGCCAAATGCAAGTAAATGGGACTAATTCAGTATAGGAAACCTGGTCGGCATGGATGAGATGGGCCGAGGGTCTGTTTCCATGCTGTATGATTATGATGCCCCCTCTGCAGTGTCTGTGATGGGACATTCCCACTCAACAAACAGGCACACCTTCCTTGCTCACATGGTTATGTCTAGCATCAGCAGGATATTCAAAACTTACACTCACCCCCACCCCCACCCCCACAAAGGCACATAACTCTGCAAATTAAACTAATGTTACCCACTTGAAATAGCATTCAATTTAACAATTGACAACAGCTGCCTTATGCCAAGCATGCTGAGCCAACTACCTGCCAGAATGCAACCACTATCTTAATATCTTTTAAGTTCAGCCTCAATTCAGCAAGCCAGTTTGTGAAGTGCTCTCGATTTATGGCCCAACACGTCGCACACATTCACGCTACACAACCATTTGCCATCAGAACACTTCTGGCAGATTGGATTTATCCACAAGTTCAAACAAAATGTTGAAGCTAAGAGGTGCAAGGTCATCAGCACAGTGTGCCACTGCCTGAATGCTGAAACTGGAGTAGTGCACGCTCAAGGGGATATCACCTGTGGCAATGTGTAGAAAAATAAATGAAATGATATGCTTAAGACAGGCACACAAGACCTTTTCTCCCTTTTAGAAAAAAAAGCACAGACCACTGCCTGATCAATTGTGTTGCAGCAATCATCTCAGGCTTTTCAGGCCTACTATTCTGTCCAACCTTTGTAACAATCCTCTGGAAGGCTTTCAAACTGTCCTACAACTGTATTTGAAACAAGATTTTCTAAGGAATACTGATCAGTCTCTTGCAGCTTATTGATTAAATATTGCTATAACCAATAAACCACCAATTGAAAAAGACCTAATTAACTGTTTAAAGGCCCAAATGTGCATGACCTGAGCATGATGCAGCTCCTCTTCAGTTTTGAAAGGCTCAAACCCATGCGCATATGCGCCTGCAGTCTTTAGCTGGCAGCAGTTCTGAAGCAAGTCTCTGATCTTGCCAACATCAAAAGCTTGGTTTGTAAGATAAGGTAATGTTTGAAGTTTGCACAGCCGAGCCTGCCCCCTGCGTCAAAACGAAATCCATAAATAAGATATAAGCCAGAGAGAAAAGAGGAAAAAAAAAAATCAGCCCTCTTCTTTCCCCGATTGAGGAGAAATCTACACTGCACCTTATTTTAAACAGGAAAGTAAACTCTGATCTGACAGGTTGCCTTTACATCTCATTTACTCCCATGTTTACAGTGCCTCCACATGCTAATTGGGGCTTGTTTTGCCTTCTCTTAATCCCCACACCCGCACTGTAGAAACAAAATCAGACAGACAGTGATGGTCTGTTTGCGTAAATTGCTCATTTCTTGTTGTTCATCCTGTGCTGTTAAACAATAGGCTTTTTGAGAAAAGATGAAGCTGCATTTTTTTGTTTCCAGCTCTCACCCACTCCAAACAGACTGGAACGCTGCAGGTGTCATTAGTGCAATAGTGTGAAGCTGGCAAATCTTCTGCAAGGGAATGGAGAGTACGGTGTGGGGTTAACTCCAAATTTAATTAGTTCAGTGCCAATGCAGCTTTGCAGATCACCAAAGCTCCACCACTAATGCTTGTGCCTTCTATTTCCTCGGCCCCTAACTCTGGAATTGTCTCCCTCTCAGTGTCAGTGTCACTTTCCTCCTTGAAACCTACTTCTTTCTTTGAAAAGCTTTTGGCTGTCTGACCCAATATCCTCATGTGGTTTGCAGGCAATTGTTTTAGAGCATTCCTGTGAAATGACTGGGACGTTTTATTTTGTCAAAAGGTGCTATATAAACTCAAGCTGTTAAGACAGACAAGGAAAATCATGCATTTCACTGTTGCCTTTTCACATCTCCCAGAAACATCTCAAAATCACTTCAGTTACAATGAATTACTTTGAACTTTCATTACTGTCATTACAAACAAACCGGCAGTCAATGCCCACACAGCAAGACCCCAGAATAAACAACACCATTAATTCCTTTAAACTGCATTCTGGGATCTTTTGGTGCTTGAATCCCCAGCACTGTTTAATGATTCATTCGGAGTCAATGCCTCTGACAGTAGTGCACTGCAGTGTTGCATTGGAGTGCTACCCTCCATTATAATGTTTAGGTCTTAGAGTGGAGAGGGGAGGGTTAAGAGCTCAAATCAATTTTCTTGGACAGACCCAAGGCTTTATTACAGGTTGAGAGGGATGTGGGGAAGACACAGTAGGCAGGCATGTGGGTTCAGAAAGTCACAAAACCCAGAATTTAAAGAAAGCTATTTAGAACACTAGGCCCTGTTTGCTTTGACACTGCACTGCAGTATCCTAGAAATATGTGCAATGAAGATTATACACCAGGTCGAGGTGCTGAAAGCTTTTCTGAATTAATATATGTGCTGTTGGAACAAGGGGCTTTCAAAATAAAAGCAAAGCCAAGGTGAAATCCGATTTTGCAATCGACTCTCTCATTGAAAAGTGAAACCTTCAGGAAGAGTAGCCATGTGTCACTGAAAGAACATCCCTGCCCCTCATTCCCTCCCATCCAGAAAAAAATCCTCATTTAACCAACCAAGCTTCACCCAGCTCTGCTCTATTATGAAAACAAGAATCAGCCAGGCTCCTTTCAGGCTTTACAGCCATCTCCCTTTCACTCCAGAAAGTGATTTTCAAAGCAGCCTGCAACTCTTCCACCCCACCCCCTCAAACTCCCTTTGACTAACAATGGGCTGAAAGCGATTCAGCTAAGCCTTTCATCCACAATACACTTTTATTTCTCAGCTTTACAGAGCCACCATTGGCTCTGACGCAAATACTTTAATCCTGACCATTTCCCCATCCCAGCTCGCCTGGTCCTCAGACCAGAAATGACTAACACTCAAATCTCCTGTTGATACAAAACGTGGAGCCAATTTAAAAACTATACATTTCAGAATGCCTTTTCGTAAGTGCTACCACCTCAAATAGATACATGTGTGCAGGTGTGGTGCTTGTGTGTCTTCCAGAGTAGGTGAACAAGGAAATATGGACATACAAAAATCTGAGTGTTTGTATGTATGTATTGACAGATGTACATGTGTATGCACAATTTAGACTTCTCCTCACCCCTTCATATGTATATACACGTTTTAAGTAAAAGATTTGCTTGTTGTGTTTCCTGGAACCTGATAAATATTCACTTTTATTTAAAAGATATGCTCAGTTGTACAAATACATGCACTCATGGACACAAACACACACTTCCCTGCATTAGTGAGCGCCACACTAAAACTGTCCATTCCTACTCAAGCAGATCTCACTTGCACTCACTGCAGAGAACTGCAGCAACAAGTTGCTTCACCATAGATGTAGCTGTACACCATCTCATTCATAACTAATAGTCTACAAGCAAAACACATCACCTACATCCAACCAGAATCACCTCTGCATTTTGTGGGGAGGTTGTACATTTTTGCTCCCAGATATTCACCCTAATATTCCCAGCAAGCACCTCACTTTCACTGCTTAATTTCAGTCACAACATGTTTGATTTTTATTCTAACAACCATTCTGTTCTGCTGACAGTATGTGGGTTCATATTCAGAGACCTCCCACCCCTTCACTGTCAACTCAGACACCAAGTACTGACAAGTTAGTGAACCTTAGTTGGTATCAGCTGTCAACTCATATCCACAAGCTCAGTTTGTTCCAAGATTTAATCCAACTCCCCTGGCTTGTGGAGCATCTCCCTCCAAAACAACCATCCCACCCTCAGTTCACCCGAATGACTAATGGACAGAAAGCAAGGGAGAGAGCAGGAAAGAAGGGCTAACATTATGAATTTAAATTCAATTAAATAAACCTGAACCTGCATCATGACCCCTCTACCCATGCACTTGAGCTGTTACAGTCCAGAGAAATCGAATAGCACAGGTGGAAGACCGTAGTTCCAAACCAGCCATTTTGTTGTCTCTTAAGACCATAAAAATAGGAACAGGAGTAGGTTGTTCGGTCCCTCGAGCCTGTTCTACCATTCAGTAAGATCACACCAGATCTGACATTCCTGCCTTTATCCAAAAACCTTCGATTCCTGACTAATCAAGAATCTCTCAGTCTCAGCCTTGAATACACACAAGGGCGGCACAGTGGCTCAGTGGTTAGCACTGCCGCCTCACAGCGCCAGGTTCGATTCCATCCTCGGGCGACTGTCTGTGTGGAGTTTGCACATTCTCCCCATGTCCGCGTGGGTTTCCTCCAGGTGTGCTGGCTTCCTCCCACAGTCTAAAGATGTGCAGGCTAGTGGATTGGCCATGCTAAATTGTCCGTAGTGATCAGGGATGTGTAGATTAGATGGGTTATAGGGGGAGGGGGAAGAGGGAGGGATGGTTGGAGGGTCACTGTGGAATTGTTGGGCCGAAAGGTCTGTTTCCACACTGTAGGGATTCTATGACTCCTTGCCACAGAGCTCTGTGGCAAGGAGTTCAAGAGATTCACAATTCTGAGGAAAAAAAATTATTTCATCTCAGTCTTGAATTGTTCTGCTTAAGTCTCAGACAGACAGTGAACTTTATTTATGTCGGAAACCTAATGACCTTTGATGGCTTGACTCCCAGTTCCTGCTCTAAAACACGTCAGGATGAATCCAGATCAGATCAAGTCTCGACTGTGTGCTCATTGCCACTGGCCTCAACACAATGGGAATAAAGGGGCAGTTTAGGGGAGGGATGAAGCTCTCTTGTTCAAGTAGCCAACAGTAAACAAATGAAATCAGAGCCAGGACTGAAGTACACCTAAAAGTAAATCTAACTCGATGTCAATGTAAATATGAGCTAGCCCTGCACTCAACTGATCTCCTGCGAATGTCAGAATACCAAAGCAAACAAGCAAAGGAGATCTCACTCCCTACTCTGTTATGCCACTGGCCTTTGTTTTTCTGGGATCCCAATAGACTAGTGTTCTAAGGTTTACTTGACTGTGGGAAGGACGGGGGCACTAATTCCCTTTTCAACAAACTGGCACAGGCATAATTGGCCAAGATGTCTCCTATGTTCTAAGATTCTAAAGAAAGATGAAGCCTGGGTTAGATGTCCTGTCATCACTTGAACACAGAGGGGAGGCTGCAAAAAGGCCCCATGATCTGGGAACAATCGGTGAGCCTGTGGATATGAACTGACAGCCAATGTGACGTGCACTCAGGTTCATTAACTTATTAACACTTGATGTTAGTGAAGGTCAAACTGTATCCCTGTAACAGCTGTGCCATCAGGAGAAAACTAGGAAAGATAGATCACTCTAAAAAGTACTGACAGTATCAAACTCAATCTCTCTTTCTCAACTAGCAGTACATGAGACAGTTTGCTGCTGCACCTAATTTCACTTCAGTCCCAGATGTTCCACCATTCCAACAACTATGGATGGACTGCACAAGATATTTGACCACATGCTTTCACCTGGATCATTCTAAAGTCCTGGAATGACCTGAAGCTCATGTCCTATTGTGCTATTGGTGTTTCAAACTATTATTTGAAGGAGGTATGTCCGAGTGTAGGAAAATAGTCAATACCTTAAGGGCAAGAAAAGTGGGGAGGATGAGTGGGAATTGGTTGTTGTTTAGTCAATTGAGAAGACATTAAACAAGTCAAAGGCCTGCCATCACCAGCTCTTGCTCAGGATAATAAACAAGGCCTTGTCAGTGTTGTACACAATAGCAAACAAAAGTAATTTACACTGAACCAAAGCTTCAGGCCCAGGATTAACAAACATCACTGGTCAGTAAACGATTACAAGTATGCCCCTTGTCAAGGTCAGAAGCCATATTCATTGTTGGCACCAAGGCTGCATTTACTTCAGTTCCTAAGTTAGGATCCTGGAGGTAACTATAGTTTGGGGTGGGGTGGGGTGGGGTGGGGTGGGGCAGGGAAGGGGAGGACGAGGAGGGGAGGTTCCAGATAATTGTAAATAAGCTAACCCAGACACCCATTACCTCCAGCTGAAAAAAAATTCTACTGGCAACAGGAGATCTAGCCTGACCATGGTGGAAGTAGCATGTTTGTTTAACGTTAGTAGATTCTGCATGGTCTTTAAAACAGCAGTGAGTGAGTGTTATAAACTTTTATATAGCACTTTAAACATTGTAAAACAACCCAGAGCACTTCGCAGAAGTGTTATCAGAAAACTTGACAATGAGACGACATTAAAAAGAGGCAACCAAAAGGAGGTTTTAGAAAGGAGAGACAGATGTTCAGGCAGGGAATTCCAATGTTTTGATGGCTGAAGACATGGCCACCAAAGACGGAAGTGAAGGTAAAAATTACGTTTCACAAGGGATCATACTTAAATGAAATTGGAGGAACAACATAGCTCATTACAGAGATATATAGGAATTATGCCATGATGGGAATTGAACACCAGGGTAAAATAAATTAAAAAAGTGAAGCATTGATGGATTGGGAGCCAATGTAGAAGCAAGTACAGGTGTCACGGGTGAACAAGTTTTAGCATGAGCTAGGCAACAGGCAGGAGAAGTTTGACAAATGCAAGTTTCAGAAGGGTCAAAGACGGGGAGGCCAACCAGGAGATCACTGGAATTACTGACTGTGAATGTAATAGACGGATGAGGGTTCAGCAGCAGTTCAGTTTAGGATCACAATAAGAATTAGCAGGTAAACATGAGAAAAATAAAGTAAAGTAATGAAAACAGTATCAGAAGGCAGTAATAAGTCATGGCCAATAGCACCATTCAGTTACAAATGTAACCTGGACTCTACACCACAGCTTCAGAACAAACTCAAATTCAACCATTTCCCTACACCTTTATTGTATCATGGGGTCCTCTTAGTCCCAATGTTGAATCCCTGGTTGTGGTCAAGTTTCCTAATCAGATTCTGGGCACACACTCCTTCTTGGAGAAGGAACTGGAATTGCTGTATCATCAGGATGCCCAGGGTATGGTAATGCTCTGATTGAGGAAAGTGAAAAAAAAAAAGAGTTGATATCTATTGATGTTCCGTGCTGCACTGTCTACTTTGAATTTGGACAGTGAGGTGGAATGGGGGGAGAAGAAATGCAGCCTCAGTGCAGTCAGAATCAAAGCTGCCCATCCCTGAAAGCAAATGAGTTAACAAGAACAGCAGATATCATACTTACACACTACTGTCTGTCATTGACATCGAGTCATCAGTCATGACGTCACTGGAGATTTCACTGTCATTCGCACTACTAGCTGGAGCGAAGATGCAGCCAGTTTGAATGTGATAGGGGCTGGCAGGGCCGTTTCTTCCATAGGATCTAAAAAGGACAGAATTTGTTTCAATTAACATTTGTACAAGTGGTCCTCAAAAGATATCCTTCAGTAAAATGCCAATCCATTCAATTATTTGAAAGGGCACTTTGGCTGACTTAGTAAAGAGGCATACAGGCCAGAAGGTTCCAGATTTCATCCTAGCTGTACACCCACGTGCAGTGGTAGTACAGGCAATGCCAATGTCCCTGCAATGTTGGGATAGAGGTTTGGTGGTGGTGGTGGAGGAAGAGAAAAGAGAAGGAAAACAATTCAACAATCTTTGTTTCTGATCGGAAGACAGGCTCAGGCTGAAAGTACATATTTGGAGATAAGGCTCAACTGGCATGGTCTCTTGGGTTCAGACAAAGAAGAAAACCAAGGTACGAAAGGGCACCCTGCAACCATGGCAGCAAGAAAAAAAACAGATCTCTCAGGTATAAAAGACGGTGGGTGCCTGGAGTTGGTAACAATTCAAATTCTGTCTACAAACCTGCGACCCAAAAGGACAAGTTTCTCACCTCAGCACTTGGCATCATGGAGCTATAGATCACCTACCTCCACCTATTGATTTTCCCCTTTTGTGCTCCCTGACTCCTCCCTAACGTTAGGGCACCATTAGGGTGGAGTTTTGGGGAGCAGGATGAAGGAATATTACACAGCACAGATAAACACAATTGCAAAACATGAAAATATGTCCAAATAATTTACCAACAGGGAACAAGATGCAAACCACGGCCACAGTGATTCTTTTAGAAAAGATACAGACAAGGTAGAACACCAAAAACATCAAAAATGTTACTACACTAGCAATCCAAAAGAAATTCAAAATCACCCCAAGGTGACATGGAAAAAGTCAGAGTTCCATAAATCTGGTCATGTGTAGGCTGGTCCCTTGTGAAATAGCCTAACAATGGCCACAAGTCAAGTAACAAACTAAACAATTCACAAATACTACTATCTTGGAGAGGAGGATACCTGATCAAGCAACTTCAAGCCCAAGGCATGTGATTGAAGAAAAATAAATGCACTTCAAAGCCAATGAAGTACTTCTGAAGTGTAGTTATCATTGTAAAAATAAACGTCGAACAAAAAAAAAAGGAACATGATAATTTCTAATGTTGGTTTGAAAGACTGATATTGCTTAGGAGATCAGGGAGAATTCCCCATGGTACTTTTTGATGATGATCGGGATCACTTACATCCACTTAAGACAGTAAATCTCGATTTAACATCTCAACAAAAGATGCATTTCTGACACTGCAGCACTCATGCACCAGGAATGTACTCAAATCTCTGGAGTCGACACCTAATGCTGTCAAAGTCAATAGAGACTGATCATCGATTGGTAATGCCCACACCTACAGAATGAAAAATAAAGAAAATACACATTTGCCTATCCACAATAAGCAGTCAGAACACATCACACCTCATTTGCAGGTTGAAAAAAATTCCAGAGAGGCTGGTGTCCCATCACCAAGTCACCCTTTATTTACATGTATGGTACTTGACACTGGTCCAACTTCCACAGAGCCAGCTCTCAGTGAGCAGAGCCTCTAACATTCCCATTTATCTATCTGTCAGCCAGGGCTCCCTGATTGGGCTAGATTAACAGCCCCAAATCAGGGAATTCATTCTATGGGGTCCACCTGGCTGACCTCATTTCAATCACTACATCCCTCACTCTTTGAGTCCAGGGACATAGGCCTGTTCTTTTTCTTGTAGCCTGTCCTGGGGAGTTTTCGCATCGGGTCCAGTTTTACTGACTCAGCCTCAGATACAGGCAGTGTGTACCGAACCATAGCCTGGAGTGTCTCAGAATAAATTCATCCTCTTCAAGCAGTAATGGTATCAAGGCTGCAACATCCACTGTGTCCATCTCAGACTCAGGTTTCTTTGACGCTAAACGGAGGGGGAAGAACCCACAAGTTCCAATAGCCTTTTTAGATGTTACGAGGGGCAGGGTATGTTTTGCTCCTGCCCCCTTTGCGAGTGTGCAGCTTTCACGTAATCTGCATGCTTGTTCAGGACCACCTCACCTATCCAAAAACTTATGTCACAGGACCTGACCTTTCATCGACTATGCCTCTTTCCCGTGGTTTTAGCAGCAAACTATGTCCCCTGAAGTAAACATGACTCCTCTAAGTGAGAGAGGGGAAGTCCAGCATTGGTATTCCTGATGCTGTTTCACCCTCTTCCCCAGGACTGAACCTGGTGCGGAGTATTCTCCCCATTAGCAACTCTGCTGGAGCTATTCCTGTAGTTGCATGAAGGATGGTCGAACAATCAAATAGGAACCAGGTCAGTTTGGTATTGAGTGAAGCTGCAGGCTGTTTCATTGAACTTGCCTTCAAAGTCTGAACTGGCTCTTTCCACTGACAATTGAATGATGGATGGTATGGAGTTATCGTTACATGCCAAATGCCATTCGGCTTTAGGAAATACTTGAATTTTCTGCTGGCAAATAATGGCCTGTTGTCTGTGACCAACATCTCCAGGAGCCTGCGTATTGCTTTTCTATGGTTGTCCATTTTGACGAATGAACATTATGCATATCCAATCACTTTGGGTGTCCATAATGACTGAGAAAGGGCTGGCATAGTTGATGTTTAACCTAGTCCAGGGTTTACCTGCCCATTCCTGCAAATGTGGGGGAGCTGCTGGTGATAATTTTTTGTCCTTGTTGGCACTCGGGCACTACCCCACTTGTGGCCACATCTGCATCCAGTCCTGGCACTAGGCATAACTTCTCACCAACATCTTCATTTTGGTCGTACCTGGATGACCCTGGTGGAGTTCAGCCAGTATCTGGTGGGGACTGTTGCTCAGGACAATCACTCTTGCTCCCCATAATAAAATGCCGTCCTCTATGATCTGGTCTCATTGGGACCAGAAAAGTTTCAGTTCTGGTTGTGATGGCCCTTTTGTTTCCCCCCTCACCACCGGCTGTTTTAGTTTTACTGAAAAAAAATCTTTGTATACACAATCTGATATTGTCACTGCCTGTAACGGTCTCCACAAGTTTAAAACAGAATGGACTCTGCCAGCAGTAACTCCACTGTGGTGTATCTGCCAACGGGAGGCAGTTCAAGGCAGCCGCAATTGTCACTTAGCTTCCCAGACAGTGTTCCGACAGCTTCCCAGACAGTGTTCCGACTTTTAAATTGTTTCCACTTGGAATGAGAGCCCACTGCTGAAGGTGACCTGAAGCTTTGGGCAGCATGGCCTTATTCTCGTTGGGCAGACTTAGCAGGGGTTTGTGGTCTGTTACTATGACAAATTTACATCTGTAAACATATTGGTGGAACTTTCTTACACTAAAAGACGCCACCGTTCTCTATCTGGGTGTATCTGTACTCTGCATCAAAGTCCAGGAAGCATACGCTGTTGGGTGTTCCTTTCCATTGGGCCATCTGTGAGCCAACACTACTCTGATACTATACGGGGAGGCATCACATGTCAGCACCAGATCTCACTTGGGATCATGGTGCGCCAACACCTTAGACAAATGACAGCTGCTTCTTCACTTCCCTAAAGGCTACATCTTGGCTATGAGACCATTTCCAAGGCTGACCATTTCTCAGTAGCAGATGAAAAGGTGCCAGGGAGGAGTCCAGGTTACATGTGAACATTCTGTAATCCTTTATTTTATATTTATTCACAGGATGACAGCGTCACTTTTAGGCAGCATTTATTGCCCATCCCAGTTGCCCAGATGGCAGTTGAGTGTCAACAGATTGCCGTGGGTCTGGAGTCACATGTAGGCCAGACCAGGTAAGAATGGCAGTTTTCTCCCCTAAAAAGGATATTAGTGAACCAGATAGGGTTTTCCCCCAACAATTGGCAATGGATTCATAGCCATCATTAGATTCTTAATTCCATTTTTTTTTATTATTGGTTTCAAATTCCACTATCTGCCATAACAGTATTCGAACCCAGAACATTATCTTGGTCTCTGGATTAACAGTCCAGTGATAATACCACTAGGCCATTGCCTGTCCCGTGAATTCACCAATTCTAAGGTAAGACCTAAGCTCTGGTACAGACAGACATCGGAGCTGGAGCACCTTTGATCACCCTCACTATCTTCCAATGGGTGTAACCTGATCTTTATGACTATGTAGGCCAAGGAGGTCACTTGAGTTGCCTGGAACATACATCTTTCCCTTCTAAGGTGTACACCCGCCTTAGACAAAGTTGTTAGACATTTCTCCAAGTTCTAAATGCTCTTTATTGGTCTTCTCTGCTATCAGCACACCATCCAAATAAATGGCAACCTGGGAAAGACCTTGTACAATGTTCTCCATCGTCTGCTGGAAAATGGCACAGACTGATGATACCACAAATAGCAGTCTTGTATATTGGTACCAACCATTATGGGTATTAATGTAGCATCCTTCTGGGGAATCCTCATCTAACCCAATTCACAGGTACACATAGCTCATGTCCAACTTCATAAAGGATAGCAGTCCCCACCCCCCACATCCCACCAGCATTATATATAAATCCGAGGGATTGGGTATTTACCCAGCTGCGAGAAGCTGTTTACCATTTGTTTAAAATCCCCTCAAAGGCATATGGACCTGTTGGGCTTCACAATTGATACAACCAGTGCCACCCATTCCACCAACTGTACTGGTTTGATGATTCCTTTGCTTTCCGGCCTCTGATTTCTGTCTCTACTTTTGCTCGCAAGACAAATGGCATTGGGCAGGCCTTAGCAGAATTGTGGAATTGCTTCCTGGTCAACATGCAAATGACTTTGGCTCCTCTGATAGTCCCTAGATCTTCCTGAAAAAACTCCAGCTATTTAATTAGGACTTCACTCAGGCAGCCATTTTCTAATTGAAAACCATTTGAGCCAATCAAGGCAAATCTTTCTCAGCCAATTTCACCCCATTAGGTTCAGACCTGAGCCTTTTATTACAATCAATCAGTGGGAACTGAACTAGCTGCTTCTCGTACAAGACCAGAGCCGAAGTTGTACCCTTGTTTCCTGGTTTGGGTT